GGGGTGATTTCTCGCTCTCTGTCTCTGTCTCTGCAGCGAGCGCATGCGTCCTATAGCAAGAACTCTCTCTAAAAATCTTTTAGAGAAATAAGTAAGTGAATGATTGTAAAACGGCCACGTCCTCTTTGGGGCTGGCGGTGGCACAGTGGCGAAGGTGGCTGCCCCACGTGGCTGCCCTCACGGTCTGGGTTCTGGGCCAGTAGCTTTAGACACCTGCCGGCTGGGACTGCCCGGAATCCCGCGAGGGCGGTGGAGGAGAAGGGGCTGCGGCCTGGCCATCCCGGGGGCGAGTTCTCACTTTCCCTGTGTCTCTCAGGTGAGCACACGCACCCTAGAGCAAAACTACGAAAAGCAGAAGCTGATCCTTGAACGGTTTACTATGCAAACTGCTCGCCGTTTTTGTTGTTGGGTGTGTCTGCACTGGCCAGCGCAAGAAAGAAGCCCCCGCGGAGTGTGGCCACGCCACACTCCCTTCTCCACCTCCCAGTCCCCCTGGGATTTGGAGCACCCAGTGCACTCCTCAAGCCTCCGGGCCTGGGACTTGAACCGCACAGTCAGCCACATAGGACCCGGCCGCCGTCACCTCCACGCCAGCTGGCTGGCCCCGGCAAGGGTTTCTAACTTCACCCCGGGACCACGGGGCTATCGTCTTCTGGGAGGTGGTCCTCCAAGGTCCTGGCAGTGCCCACAGGGACAGGGCCTCCAGACAGAGGTGTCCATGCCCAGCCTAGGGCCCACGAGCTCCCCAGAGGCCTGGCCCCGCCAGGCGTGCCCCGTCCCTGTCCCATCGAGCGGCTCTCTCCTCCAGTCCCGGAGGCTGTGCTGGTGGCTCTGAGAAGTGGCCTTTCCCTTCCCGCCCACAGGGAGGCCGAGGGAGGGAGCCCGCCTGCGGCTGGTCTGCTGGCACCAAGGTTGCACGCGGCCGGGGCTCGATGTCCCCAGATGATGTTCCCAGACTGGCCTGTAGCCAGGGGCTCTGGGAGGCACCCCTATCCATACCTGGCTCTGCCTGGACTGGGGGCCTGGGCCGTCTGCGCCAGGTACTGGGGTTTGGCGGAGCGCCGTCACTCTCTGACCTGAGTCAAGGGTGACCCGGTGACCAGGGCCAGCCACGGGCAGGTCCGACGGCACCTTTGGCCCATGACTGCACACCCGAGGGAGCTTCGAGGGGCTGAAAAGCGGATTCGGAAATCCGGAGGCTGTTCCGGACTCTGGGACAGGCCCAGACGGTAGCAGAGGTATCCCAGCCTCTCTGGTTATGGCGGGGGGGCTCCGAAATGGTCACCACACCTGGGTCCTGGCCCTGCAGCCCGGGAAGCTCGCTGGCACGTGTCTACCTATTAATAAATACCCTACGGGCCGCAGTGGCGTGGTGGCTGAGGCGCTGGACTCCCACGCGGTCGGCTGTGGTTCAAGTCTCAGACCTCGTGGCTTGAAAATCACGCTGGGCGTGTGTCCGTGCCCGAGATCCCAGGAAGAGAACGGAGGAGGCCAGATTGCGGCCTGGCCGTCCCCCCGGAGGTGCTTTCTCGCTCCCTCCCTGTCTCTCTACAGCAAAAACCTGAACACAGAAGAACGGGGGCCCACCCGTGGGTGGTGGCTAAGGCGGCCGGGTCCCACACAGCCAGCCCCGAGACCCTAGTCCCAGACCGGAGACCGAAAAAGCTCAGCTCCCTAAGGCAAGAGCAAAGCCTAGCTGGGGCCTGGTGACCTTAGGGCGCTGGACAGCGCACGGCCCACAGGGGTACAGGTCTGGACCAGGCGGCTCGGAAGTCACGCCGGCGAGTGTGCGTGCCCAAAACCCCAGGAGGAGAACAGAGACGGCGTTGCGGGTGGCCACCCCGGGGTCTCACGGTCCCTCCCTCTGTCCCTCTGTATGGCAAAGACCTAAAAAACCCCACCTGGTGCATGTGTGTGCATGCCCAAAATCTCGGAAGGAGGAGGACACCCCCGGTGCCGCCTGCTCCCTCTCCCTCTCTCTGTCTCTCTAGTAGAAAAAAAAATTAAAGCTGGGGGGCAGCAGGTGGCATGGTGGTTAGGGATGCTGGGCTCCCATATGGCTGACCACAGTTCAAGTCCTAGACCTGGAGGCTTGCTTTCTCACACTCGCCTTTCTCTCTGTCCCACCCTGGTCAAATTTAAATAAATAAATAAAGAAAGAAAGTTAAATACAATAATTCTTTTAAAAAATTAAAAGGTGGACCTTCAAGGGATATTGATTTTTTTTAAGAATTATTTAGTTTGTATTTATTCATCTAATTATTTTAATTTAACCAGAGAGAGAGAGAGAGAGTGAGAAAGCAAGCTGCTGGGTCCAGGACTGGAACTCGGGCTGGCCACGTGGAGTCCAGCACCCCAACTACCATTCCATCTGCCATTCCCAGCATTTAAAACAATTTTCTTGAAGGAGATTTATGCTGAAGAGTGTGTGCACTCACATAAGAGAGAGACAGAGAGACAGAAGGAGAGAAATCACCCCCCCGCCCCCCCGGGAGGGAACGGCCACACCACAAACTTTTCTCCATTCTCCTCTCAAGATTTTGGGCACACACACACACAAACACGTGACTAGTGTCTTTTTTTTTTTTAATATTGATTTATTTACTTAATTCCATTTGTTATTATAGTTAGTATTATTATTTTAATTTGAGCAGAGAGAGACAGAAATAGAGAAAGAGAGAGAGAGAAAGGGAAAGCGAGAAAGTAAGTCTCCAGGCTTGGGACTTGAACCACAGTTGGCCATGTGGGAATCCAGCACCCTTACCCACCACACCACCTGCTGGCCCCGACTAGTGTGTTTGAAGCTGCCGAGTCTAGGACTTGAACTGCAGTTGACCATGTGGGACTGTTATGCCATCTGCTGGTCCCCCAAAACGCTACCTATTTTATTATTTTTTTAGAGAGAGATTTTTCCTATAAGGTGCGTACACTTGCTGGAGAGACAGCGAGAGACAGAGTTTTAAGCTGCCAGCTCCGGGACTTGAACTGTGGCCGATCTAATAGGAGTGCAGTGAGGTAACCATTGTGCCATCTGCTGGTCCCCAGATTTTGAAATTTTTACTACCATTGCTCAATTTGACCAGGAAGAGACAGAGAGAAGGTGAGAAGGCAGCTGCCAGGTCCGAGGGGCTGTGGTGCTTGGCCACCGTGGCCACCTGCCGCCCCTCAAGTGGTATTTCCACACATTGGACACGGTGGTGCTGGCGGCCGCAGGGGACGGGCGGGGACGCGATTGCTGAGTGTGGAGCCACAGTCCACGCAGGGCAGCCGGGGCGCAGACTCAGCGGAGTCTGCAGATGCCCCCATACAGTCCAGGCCTGAAATACTTCTGGTTTCCCCCAGCGGCAGGAACAGTTCCGCTGGATTCGTCCAAACTGTAGTTCCCGCATGAAATATTTTACCCAACTTCACTGCAAAAGGAGTAATATTTTTGGTCACCGGAGCCAACATTCAAACATGAAATGTGTTTCTGAATTTAAGTGCCAGGAGTAATATTTTTGCTCGGGGCACGTTTTAATTCGCACATGAAAAAACCTTGCTGAATTTATCTGCAAGGGGTAAAAATGTCCGCTTCCTGGGTCTAAATTTTACTCAAACGATTTGACTAAATGTGAATAAAATCTTGGACACTGAAAGTTCCTTTAAATAAGACATTCTAAGTGGCTTTAAAACCGAAAGACTACGTTTAAAAAGTCACTAATACGATGATTACAAGGTTATTAGTGAAATTAACTTGGTCCCATGGGGCGATGGGTGCGCTGGGACTCTTCCCCCCAATACCCCCTTCGACTTCTCGGAGGCCTTTGTCGCCCGAGACGCCCGGAGAAGGGGGTCCCGCGGGATGGAGACCCGAGAGAGAGGACTGGGAACCACGGCGGCGTCGGGGCCCCCGCGAGACCCCTAAAAACAGGGCCCAGCGGGCGCCCCCGCCCCCAGGCCCGGCAGTGGGGGCGGGGAAGGAGCGAGCTCGGCGCGTCCCCGACGCCCCGCAACCCCGCCCCCCC